ACACACACACACACACACACACACACACACACACACACACACACACACACACCCCTTTAAAGCAGTGGTTCTCAACCAGGGTACACCTTGGGGGTATGCAGAGGTCTTTCGGGGGTACATCAACTCATCTAGATATTTGCTTAGTTTTACAACTGGCTACATAAAAAGCACTACTGAAGTCAGTGCAAACTAAAATTTCATACAAACGACTTGTTTACATTGTTCTATATACAATTCACTGAAATGTAAGTACAATATTTATATTCAATTGATTTATAATTATGTGGTAAAAATGAGAGAGTAAGCAATTTTTCATAATAGGGTGCTGACATGTTTGTATTTGTGTGTCTGATTTTGTAAGCAAGTCATTTTTAAGTGAGGTGAAATTGGGGGTACGCAAGACATCAGACTTCTGACAGGGGTACAGTAGTCTGGAAAGGTTGAGAGCCATTGCTTTAAAGGCTAACACTGCATTGTCATTGCAGGGTACAATTTCATGACTCTTCGTGTTTGCGACAAGGAGAAATTCCTAGAGCTACATGAAGGCAGCTACACTGCAGGCAGGCCCTGCATAAGATTCCGCACACAGACACTGCTTTGCTGGCGCACCTCAGTCTTGACCTACGATCCCCACTTTCTTCACGATAGTCCAGCTGGGGGTCTCTCTCGGGCAGAGACTTCAAGCTTCAATGACAGGCTTGGTGGTATCTTCACAGCCATCCACCATTAGGCTGAGCCTTCAAATCCATTTGCACTTGAATTCCAGGACTCATTTGAAGCCATGAGAGGCCAGTGTACTAACCCACTGGGGAATGGAGCTCTTTCTAATATACTCTGCTCTGACTTCATTCACCTGCATGTCTTCTGGGTTTCTTTTCAGACAGCCAGTCTTCGTCATTCACTAGTTTTGAAAAGTGAGAATATACTAAAATCCCTATAAACTAAGGCCTTGACTACACACAAAACTTGTAGCATTTAGTTAAAATGGTTTCAATCTCCTGTGTGGACACCTTTTCATTTACTTTAGCTTAAAGTTACCTGAGAAGCAGTTTAAGAGACACAAATCACTCTTAAACTAAAGTAAGAGTGTATACACACAAAGGGGTTTGCACCAGTTGAGCTTCACACCTTTTGTTAAACTGGTACGCCTCCATGTAAGCAAACCCTAAACCATGAAAACTCACTGGTAACAACTACAATAAATAGGGTGTTCCCTTATATGGATAGAAGAGGTCTGGCCAATTCCAAACAGTCCTCATACAGCTCTGTTGCTATCACAGAGGCATTAAGGTTCACAAGATGCTTTTCACAATAGGGCTTTTGCCCAGAATACATGGTCACACCACTGCTGCGTACTAGTCAGCTGTTGCCCTCCACTCCAGAGGCAGCTGCATTTCAGATATACTACATATTTTGTATAATAGTTCAACACACAAAACACTGTAATTTTAAATATTTACATTTTAATCGGTCGAGAGGAAAAATTGATGCTCAAGAGACAGTTGACCATGTAACTTCTTGATCTCCCAAGACAGTGGGAATGGTACAGAGCAAAGATGGTTTTGTAGCCAAGGCACTAGACTAGAAATCAGAAAACCTGGGTTCAGCTCCCAGCTCTGCTATATGTGTCGTGTCTGTCTGTTCGTTCTTCAGGGCAGGTACAGTCTCTTTACGTGTGTGTCCAGCACCTAGCACAGGGGAGCCCTGCACCTCCAGAACTACAGGGCGCATTAGGGAAGACTAACCACACCTGGAGGTTGAGCCTTAAACCATGACAGAAGGCAGGCTTATCCCAGCTTTGTTTGGAAAGGGCTTCAGTTGATGCCCATTTGCAAAGCAGCCCCAATTGCCAATTTAAACTCCACCAGTGCACTTTGCTGTATTCTCCAGAATCCCATCATTCATTTTAAGGTATGAAATAAAGTTCCATGCCCCTTGGTTGGGAAGATCTGAGCGCTGTGCCAGATTCCAGTTCCTCTAACAGCCGGATGCTATCTAGCTCCATCCAGGGAGCGAGGGGGGAGTTCAGGCTAGGAAAAAGTGAGAGGATCCCATCCCTGGGAAATTCCGCAGGAGGTTAAAACACTTAACAGGGAAACAGAGGAATAAGACAGAGAACTAAGAAAAATCTGTGTAAAGCACAGGGCTCTTCATAACCAACGACACAAAACAATTAAGTGAAGCTTCTGAAGCAGAGCAAGTGCCCAGACTCACTCCTGGGGCATATTTCAGAGATCCAGACTCCTGGATTCATTCTCACCTTCATAGTCAGGACTCATCTACACTTGGAACGCTACACTGCCACTGTAGTGTTCCCAGTGTAGACACTACTGACACTGATGGGAGGGCTTCTCCCATCAGCGAAAGTAATCTGTCTCCCTGAGAGGCAGGAGCTATGTCAACAGAAGAATGTCAACGGATGTGGCCTAGCATGGTCTACATGGGGATTTACATCAGCTTAATTGCGTGGCTCAGGGGTATGGATTTTTCACACCCTAAGCGATTTAGCTTGGTCAAGCTAATTTTCTGGTATAGACCAGCCCTAAATCCCTGCCCTGCAGCTGGATTGTGTCTGCAGCAAGACAGATGGTGCCAAGGAAAGTTTCCCTGAAAACCACCACATGGTCACTCCAAAATGCTACAGGCCAGCCATGTGAGTCACACCACTGCTGAGACCACTTTCCTGCAGCCCAGGTAACAAAGGGGTTCTGCAAAGGACTGGATGTAAGCATGGATAGGAAACTAGAAAAATCCAAGAACTCTCTAACCTGTAACACCAGAGAAAGAGTGGGGGAGACCCTCTCTCTTGCCCCTCAAATGGGAGAGAGAGGAATGTACCATTCAGCAAGCAGAAGGGTTTTCTATGGGGTCCTTCCTTTAAGCAGGACTAGCCAATGAGCCCTAAACAGCGGCAGTTCCTAAACCTTACAAGCCATGCCTTATTAAGTAGGAAGAACCGCACATAGGATGAATTATAGGGTGTTAATTTTCACCTAGCGTGTTGTTAATGCAGCCAGGCATGGATTAATGCTCCATTATTCACGCACCGGGATCTCCCTTTTATGTTTATTAACATGATTGAGCAGATTAGTCTTAGCATGACACACACATCCTTCATTATTTGAGGAAGCTCTAGAGTTCTAGTCAGACAATCCTAGGGAAGGACCGTGGGACACAGTACATTAACGGCACTCGTTAAGGGCATATATGCTGCATTACAGCCACTGCCGCAGATTATAGACAATCGCACTGTTTCATCTGCCTATTTTATAAATGCCTGTATATGATTAACGCAATAGTCCATGTAAACTATGCTGGGCCCAATACTAGTCTACATTCATGGTTCTCAATCTTTTCCAAACCAGAACCATCTCAGGACAGCAGCCCCATTTTACCAGACCCCCTTTCCATCCAGCCAGCCCGCTCCAGCCCCATTTAGCAATCTGGGGAGGGCAAGTGTTCATGATAACCCACGCTCAGATGCTAGGACATGGGTACACATTTCTGGAGTGCTGGGGTCCCTAGTGAATGCTTTTGCAGCTGTAGCTCATTCTGTTCCCACAAACTTCCCAACAGCCCTGAGCCACCCTGGTTCGTTGACCACTGGCGTAGCTGCATCAGGGCAAACTCCCAGCATACACCTGGTTTATACTGGCTTCAAACCAGAATAAACTGAACTCTGACATGTTGCAGCGCATCGGTGTAAATCATGTCTACATAAGGGATTTGCCCTGGTTTGAAGCTGCACCTCAGGATAAAGTCCTAGTGTAGCCAAGGGTCACATTCCAAAAATCAAATTATCCCTTCCCCCGCCTTCTCTCTCTCTCACACACACACACTTTCTGCAGTCATTCCCACTAATTCCAGTCCTGCCTGTGAGGGATCACAGCTGTCCAGTGCACTGTCCTCCTTCCCTCCCAAGGAAATACCC